CAAAAAAAAAAAAAAAAAGGAAGAGTGAAGTCCATGTAACACACAGTTAAGGTCAAAAGTTTACATTCCCCTTTCAGAATCTGCAAAATGTTAATTATTTTACCAAAATAAGAGGGATCATACAAAATGCATGTTGTTGTTTATTTAGTACTGACCTGAATAAGATATTGCACATAAAATATGTTTACATATATTGTCCACAAGAGAAAATAATAGTTGAATTTATAAAAATGACCCCGTTCAAAAGTTTACATCCCCTTTATTCCTAATACTGTGTTGTTACTTAAGAAAACGATGCATTAAGAGCCGGGGGGTGAAAACTTTCGAACAGAATGGAGATACAGTAAATTTGTCTTATTTTGCCTAAATATCATATTTTTTTAATTTAGTACTGCCCTTCAGAGGCTACAGAAGATAGTTACATGTTTCCCAGAAGACAAAATAAGTTAAATTAACCCTGATCTTCAAATTCAAAAAGTTGAATGCAGCGTTTTTTTTTTCCTTCTGGAACATCAGTGAGCGTTTGAACCTTCTGTAATAGTTGCATATGATTCCCTCAGTTGTCCTCAGTGTAAAAAGATGGATCTCAAAATCATACAGTCATTGTTGGAAAGGGTCCAAATACACAAAAATTATGGAAAACCAAAAGAATTTATGGGACCTTTTCTGAAGAACGGCAGGCAGTTTAACTGTTCAGGACAAACAAGGGACTCATGAACAACTATAACTAAACAAAAAACACAGCTGTGTGTGGATAATTCAGGTAACAACACAGTATTAAGAACTTTTGTAAACTTTTGAGTCATTTTTATAAATTCAACTATTATTTTCTTTTGTGGACTATATGTAAACATGTTTTATGTGAAATATCTTATTCAGGTCAGTACTAAATAAACAATAACATGCATTTTGTATGATCCCTCTTATTTTGGTAAAATAATTAACATTTTGCAGATTCTGAAAGGGGGATGTAAACTTTTGACCTCAGCTATATCTGCTGCTAGTCAAAACATGAGTAAATCACTGGTTCAATCAGGATTAAACCGAAAAATCTAGTTCATATCTGCATTCTTAACCAACCAGAAGCTCTTTATCTTCTGCAGGTGTGATAAGTAACTGGACAGACGAGAGTCGTATTCCGCCCTGTACCATCTATCAGGCTTTCAAATACTTCCTGGACATAACCACCCCTCCAAGTCCCCTGCTACTGCAACAGTTTGCTCCTCTAGCGACTAATGAGAAACAGAGAAAGAGACTAGAGGTGCTCAGCAAGGTAAGAAAACACTGAATAACTGCACACATGCATTTCCCTAATTATCATGTAAGACATTTATTTGCATCAATACAAGCCGTGCTAAAGCTCAGTAATGATCTAAGACCCATTTCCACCCACTTCTTCTATATAAGACAAAAGGCGTCACGTCGCCACATGCATCCCTTGCTTTTCTGCCTCAAAACGGCAGTAATTGTCTCAGTTTGATAACTTATTAGCTCTGAAAATCAACCCCCTCCTCCCTACTTCCTTTTTTCCCCCTCCCATGCCTGTTTTGCGCTCTCACACGAGCTTCTCAGTGTCAACACCGAGACATGGAAATATTTCTCTTTCATTGCCTCCCACTGAAACACACAATTTTTCGTAATGTTGCTAAAAATGGCTGCTTAGTTAGTGAGTCATCCTTTCTGGTTCAAATGATTCTGATGAAGGAATGGCGTGAACTAGAGGAGAAAGACAGAGGGACATTGACACATTCTTTGCAGACTTTCTTTCAGCTGAGTTCACATCAGTGAGGATGGCAACTTCCCACAGTTTCTCTCTGCTTGTTTAAAATGATAATTTTGTATATTTTAAGCACTTGTTTGGATTACCATTCAAAAGTTTGGGTTCGGTAAGTTTTTTTTAATGTTTTGTTTTTAAAAAAAGTCTCTTATGCTCACCAAGGCTGCAAAACAGTAAAATATTATTACGATTTAAAGGAACGTTTTTTCTATTTGAATATATTTTCAATTTAAATTTATTTATGTGATGACCAAGCTGAATTTTCAGCAGTCATTGCTCTAGTCTTCCGAAACTGTTCTGTTATGCTGATTTGTTCTAGACAGATTGCTTTTGTTGTTATTATTATAATCATTGAAAAGAGTTAATATTTTTATGGATACTGTGATACATTTTTTTATTTCAGGATTCTTTGTTGAATGGAAAGTTTAAAAGAACAGCATTTATTTGAAATGGAAATATTTTGTAAAATTATAAATGTCTTTGCTGTCACTTTTGATAAATTTAGTGTCCTCGCTGAATAAAACTACTCATTTCTAAAATTCATTTTCATCAGCTTTTCAGATTTACAACCATAAAGGTCATTGCCATTGAGTTTTCTGTGTATCATTTAGTTATAATTTTTCTTGAAGTTATAGTTGAAAGTCAGAAAGCAGAGCAAATAGTCTGATATGGTTAAAAAAGGATCAGAAAAAGGAAGTATAAACTGCCGTTTCTTGACCCTTTTTGTAGATTGACAGCTCTAGTAAAGCTCGACTTTGTTGTATGAGAGAGAACAGCCTGGACATAAAATTCAAAAAATGGAGGTGCATAATGGTGAGTCAACGGTGACAGAATTTTCTCTTTAAGGAGAGATCTGAAAAGACCTTTCTGGCTCCTTTTTATGTTCACGTGACTAACACATTTACGCAAATTATTGTGTTGACAGGTTTTTTTACTCGCTCGCTTCTTACTGTCAGTTCACGGCACAAGGTGCTTGCAGAATGTTTTGAGCGATTGCCATTCATCCAGAGCTCATGTGCCAAACCAGAGCTACTGGGAACGTCATGATGATGTTATATGCTTCATTCTGTGTCTCCTCAGGGTTTGCAGGAGTATGAGGAATGGAAGTGGTACAATAACCCTACCATAGTGGAGGTGTTGGAGGAGTTCCCATCCCTCCAGATCCCCTCCACCCTTCTCTTGACCCAGCTGCCCCTCCTACAGCCACGATACTACTCCATCAGCTCCTCTCCAGACCTCCATCCAGGAGAGATACACCTCACTGTGGCGGTGGTGTCCTATCGGCCCAGAGGTAAAGAAAACAGCAGATTGCTAAGGCATTGCTCTTTCATCGCTTTCATTGCTCAGCTCTTAATTGAACTCTTAGTTATGTTTCATTTACATATGAGCTTTATATCATAATCTACATACGAGCTTTATAAGGTTAGGTTAGGTTATCATCTTCTTTATCTGCATTTAAAGGGATAGTTCACCCAAAAATGAAAATTTGATGTTTATC